TTTAACACTGACTTATATTCTGTCCTCACAGGAACCTTGTGTTAACATTTTTTTATATTCTTTCAGATATATAAACAAGTAAATTCTTCTTTTTAAAAATAGTTTTAGAGCACGGGGGAGAGAGAAACATTGATTTGTTGTTGCACTTATTTATGCATTCATTGGTTGTTTCTTATATGTGCCCTGACCAGGGAACAAAGCCACAACCCTGGCGTATTAGAACGACACTCTATCCAACTGAGCTACCCAGCCAGGGCCAACAAGTAAATTCTTAAGTAACCCTTTTTTCTCATCTTTGTGTGTAATTCATAACATACAAGGTACATTGTTCAACATCTCAGGGTTTTGGGTTTGTTTTTTTTTTCCTACTTTAAACTGCCTCCAAATATGTTTGAGCCGCCTCCAAATAAGTGCATAAAGGTTGTCCTGCCATGTATCTACCTCGCACTTCTCCTGCAATGAATGAATGTACCTGTTTTTCTACACCAGGTATTGACAAACTTTTTCTGTAAACATTTAGATTTGTGATCCCCTACATTCTGTTTCACATTCTTCTTGGTTTTGTTTACAACCCTTGAAAAGCATAAAACCATTCTAAAAAAGCCTGCCAAGGGGACTTGCTTGCTGATCCTTACAAACATTATCAATATGAGGGATAGAATAGTGGTGTCATGATATAATTTTATTCGTATTTCTCTTATCAGCAAGGCTGAGCATATTTGGAGCCATTTGTATTTCCTCTTCTGTACCTATTCATATTTTTTGCACATTTCCCTGTAATTGGTAATCTTCTTTACAGTAAATTTTTGTGTAGGAAAATTACCTCTTACCTTTGAAGTGAATTGGAAGTATTTCCTTCAGCTTTAACTTTTTACTTTGCTAATTAAAGATTTTGCTAAGTAAAAATTTTTTGAGTTGTAAAATGTATCAAAGTTACATGATTTTTTTATTTTACATTTTTTATGTAACTTCTATGCCTTTCCATTCTTTTGTATTGGTGTGAAGAGACTAGATATTTTAGGTGATTGTCATATAAACATCTCTTAATAACAATTTAAAAAGCAACCAAACAAAAAACCTTGTCTATCCATGGCACCATTCATCTTCAGAGTTAAAGTCCATTTTTATGCCTCCTGTTTTCCCTTCAACCCACCCCATTCAGGCTATAGTTCCTACCTCATGGGTGAAATGACTCTTCTCAAGGTTTCTAGCAGTCTCCATCTTGCCAAATCTAGTAATTATTTCTCTGTTCTTCCCTTATCTCATCATAGTTCATCTCATTCTCAGCAGGATTTGACAGTTAACTTCTATGACTATATAATCACTAGATTTCCTCCTTCATGGCCACTGTTCCTCCTGGACCAGACTGTTGGGTTGTCTCTGGTATCTGTCCTCTGCTGCCTTCTCTTACCCATCTTCAACATATCCCCAAGGATACCATCTGTAAACTGACATTCAAATTTTTGTCTCCATCTCTTCCTTCACCCTTGAACTCCAGACTGGAACATTCATTTTCCTGTGCAGTAACTCCAACTGGATATCTAATACACAAGCAGAACTTAGTATTTCTTTCCCTCATCTTTCTCCATCTTAGGAAATAGGACCACCACACATTGAGATATTTTTAGAAGTTACTCTTGTTTTTCCCCATCTAGTCAGTCAGGTCCTGCCTACTGTGTCTCCAAAAGTATCCCAAACATCATAGTGGTTAGGAGAGCCAGGCTGCCCCAGTTTGAAACGCGGCTCAGCCTTGAGCAAGTCATCTTCTGTGACCCAGATTCCAAGTCTTTGAAATAAAGTTGAAATAGTACACATCTCATAGGCTTGTTCACACATGAAAGGTGGTGCCCAACTATGTTAATATGCATAGGGTGCTCAGAACAGTGCCTAACAATTAATGAAGACTTAGTAAAAGTTTGCTGTGGCCATCCCAAAATAGGCGGTATTGGTACTTATACCAGTACTTGTTAGTAGTGCCATTTCTGCTGCTGCTGATGCTTCTGCTTCTGCTGCTTCTGCCACTGGTGCCACCGCCCCTGCCCAAGTCTGTGTCTTGTGTGGACTATGGGATAGCCTTCTGTGCTTTCAATTCTTGCAGTTCTAGCATCCATCCATATACCAACTATGGCAATCATTTTAAAATATAAATGAAATTATGTCATGATTCTGCTTAAAAACTCTCCAGAGGCTTTTCATTATAATGGTAATAAAACTATAACATCTTTCCACAGCCTTCAAGGCTTTTTATGATTTGGCACCTCCTATCTCTCAGTCTCACCTCCTGTTATTCCCAAAGCTCCATCTACTCTGGCCTTCTGGTCCCTAGAATATGTTAAATCCTCTGCCATATTAGTTCTTTGCATTTGTTAGTCCCTGTGTCTGGAATGTTCTTTCTCTCAGAATTGATTTCTTCATAAAACTCAGACCTTAGCTTGGATGCCATCTCTTCAAAGGGGTAATCCTTGATCTTCCTAGTTATCCTCCCCTCACTTTTTATCCTAGTGCCTCCTTACTTGTTTTGTTGCACTTAGCATGAAAAATGGAATTTTCTTATTTTTGCATTTGTCTGAAGTTCCACGTAGGTAGGGCTTTGGCTTGTTTACCATCAAAGCAACATCTAGACTAGGGGTTGGGAGCTAAACTGCAGAATGCCAAGTTTTTAAAATGAGAGGAGTATATTTTTAGAAGGAGCTTCTTTTTCTGAATAGCTTCTTGGAAATAAGGGATGTGCAACTCATAATTATTAAGGAATAGTTACACTTTGGAAAAATGTCTTTGGGACCCTCTGCCTTTTCTAAGTCACAGACTATTTTAAATTGTTCTGTAAAGAAAGGTGTTTCAACCCAGTTTGTGTAACTACTATATGTTTTGCTTTAAAAATGTGCGCACACACAACTTTAGCGTATTAACTGATGTGGTAACACCCTGAGCTCATGTACTACTCACTTTTAAAAATATAACTAGTTGTGAAATGATTACAGCTTCCAAGTAAGCATCATGATAGTGAGAAAGAAGTCATTTCCTGATTTATGTAGGCACACCAGCAACAGCATGCTCCATAAACATGCTCAGGCTTGGTATTTTTCAGACATTTAATTACTTATCTGAAGTATACTATTTTTACTATATCTAAGTAGTTATATCATTCTGAATATATTGATCATTGTCTTTGATATCCAGGGAAAAGAGGGGTTCAATTCCTGTTTTTTTTTTTAGTTGAATTGAACTTCTAGCTTCCAAGTGTGAATCCTTTACCATACAGTTCACAGTTCAAGATGCTTCTGCTAAAATGATTATGGTATAATGATAAGAACAGTATAAAAATTGCATGTCTAGTGTGATCTCAGTTATGCTCTATATGTGTTAAAAGCAACCTCTAAGGATGTTAACATATTCATGTTGTTAAATGAATAGCAAGATTGTTTAGGTCTATTTTATTAATACTTTTCTGTATTGGGCAGTTAGGTATATGGAAATGATTTCTGGGTGCAGCCTGAAGGAGTGCCCAGGTGTTAATGTCCTGTGCAGACAGTGTTTGAGGCACAGACCCCAGGCAGACTGTCCTTGCTCAGACTTGTGATTGAATCTCTGGTAGCTTCAAAGTAGCAAAGAGCTACTTTGCTTCAGTACATCCTAAAGCACTCCCCAAGGTTAAATCAGACTTCCAACATCTGTTTATTTGTTCATTCAACACATGAACTGCATGGCTGATTTTGCTGAGCCATTTTAGTTAAAGTGTAAAATGTAAAGTGTAAAATGAGTCAAAAATACATGGCTTCTGCCCTCTGGTTACTTCTAGTATATTGGAGAAGACCCATATTAAAATAACTAATGACTGAAGCAGTTTCAACTTGATGGTTATGATAGAAAAGTATCAGACACAATAAGGAGAGCAAAGGGCAGGGGAGAGCCTAACTTAGGTGGAGTTTTGGATAAGGCTGAGACCCCAAAACTGAGAGGAGTTAGCTAGAATAAGAATTTACCAACTGGAAGAAACTGCGTAACAAGGCCTAGAGATGGAGAAGAGCATATGAAGAACTAAGGGAGACCAGCGTGTGTCTGGTGCAGCCAAGCTGGGAGAGATTGGCACAAGATAGGGAGGTAGGCAGGATGGAGTGTTGTCCTGTGAGCTGCAACTTGGAAAAGCTATATCTGTGGCCAAAATAAGTCAAAAGAGATAGATACTAAGAAGAAAGGGTACAGTCTTCTGGATCTTCTAATAACAAAAGATCTCTTTGCTTGGGCTTCCACAGACTCAGTGTTTGTTGTGATTTCATGGTCTCCATTTCTAAGGCCAAGCACCATTGCCAGTGGTAACTGGGTGCCATTAATGTACCTCACCACTATAGCTTCTGGAAGAACCTGGCCTTTCAGTACTGAGCACATACATGTAGTAAACAAATGATGCATGTTCCAAGGAAAGGGAGGGTACATGAGATCCAGGACTTTTGTTTATTGGCCATTCACCCCAAGGTATATGGATGTTCCAGAGATAGGATATTTGAGAATTGAGATGGTGTTGGATTCTATTGATAATTCTACCACCAAGTTGTTGGAATGCAGTTTCTTCTTTTCCAAACTGGAAGTAAGTAAGCCCTTCAATTGACAATCGTTTTGTTGTTGTTCAGTTTCTTACTGGAATTAGAAGAAACGTCTCTATATTGCCAATAGAGGTTAATATGAAAACAAAGTGATCAAAATTTAACCAGCTTTCATAATCTGTGTGATTATATTCTCATACAGCTCTATTATCATCAATGTGGTTGCATTGGGAAATTTCCACTTTTGGTTACAGCTTGTTGTTGAAAACTATTATAAGAGAAATGCTTTTGAATTACATGTTTGCTTTATTGCCATGGTGTTCTCTGATGTGATTCTCTCCTTAAATGTGCATACTTCATTTGCCATGTTTAAAATCACCACAGGATGAAAACTAGTATCTTGAAGCATATGAACATTGTAAATGTACTAAGCATTACTTATTCTCTCATTCCTTTTAGATTCTTCTTAATCCTTTGGTGAGAACTCTGTGATATAAGATGGCCGCAAATAAGCCCAAGGGTCAGAATTCTTTGGCCCTACACAAAGTCATCATGGTGGGCAGTGGTGGTGTTGGCAAGTCCGCTCTAACTCTACAGTTCATGTATGATGAGGTATGTGCTGATTTCAAAATGGATATCAAAAGTTTGGGCTTTCAGAGAGTATTTCTCTACCTTAGTTTTGGTGTTATTTTGGATAAATTCCTTGAATGGTTGAAAGCTATTAATCATTTTTTATTTTTAAATTTAGAGCCACATTTACACACAACTTGATATAACCTGTAACTCAAGATCTGTAAAAACCTTATACTTCAAAAACAAAATGAAACTGGAAACACTACCTATTTTTTAGCAATCTAACCTTGGCTTATTTATTTTTAGTGTTTCCATGGCAATTCTCACCTTGAATTAATAGAACTAGTGGACGTAGAACCTAATTGAAACTTGAGGTTAACAACATACATATGGTGTCCTTTAATAACTTAAGTGGAACTGTTCTTTATTGTGTATTTGGCATGGCACTACATTCAGCATTAAACAGGTAAAGGCTTTATCTCTAAAATCTAATTGCTAGACAGGTTAACAGATGTGTGTGCATGCATTTATTTATATCCAACCTTATCAACCCAGATTCTTTTCCTTGAAGACTCTTATCAAGTCCAAATGATTTAAGAGTTGGTAATCTAATTTAAGCATTTATCCTTAATTCTTCCTCACAGTAGAAGCGAGGTTTTGCCATTACTCTTTCTTACCTCATCCTCCTAATAGTCCTCTATGATAGGTAGTGGTGTCCCCCTTTTACAGATGAGGAAACAAACCCTCAGAAAGGTTATCCAGCTTGTTTAAACCTGGTCTCTTGAAAAAAATCTTGGAGATTTTTACCACCCAGTGTTTCCTTTTGTTGCTTCCTTCTATAACATTTTTTTCATACACACAAAATTCTCAAATCCATGAGTTGTCTCACTTGGTGACTATAATAAAAAATGTGGACAGAGGGAAAATTGAAATAGTGCTTTAAATGAAATTACTAATTTATCTGTTCAGTTCTGTTGTCCATACTATTCGTTTACATATTGTAGCTACCTTTTCATTGTTTTAAATCAAAGTGTACAAACTATTTACTTTTGTCAAATGGTAAGAATGGTGGTTTCTTCTTTAAAAATTAAGGATTATAGGACATTTTTCCACAAAGTACTTTTTGTAGCATCTTAGCTAACAGTGTCTTTTCCTTTTTAAAATTATTGCCATCTTTTTAAAAATGTATAGTTTATTTTTCAATTATAGTTGATACACAATATTATATTAGTTTCACATGTACACCATAGTGATTAGACATTTAAATAACTTATAGAGTGATCACCCTGATAAGTCTGGTACCCATTTGACACCATACATAGTTGTTAAAATATTGTTGACTATATTCCCTATGCTGTACTTTATCTCCTTGTGACTATTTCTATAACTGGCAATTTGTACTTCGTAATCCCTTTTACATTTGTACCCATTCCACAAACCCCCCTCCAATTTAGAGACCATCAGTTTGTTCTCTGTATATCTATGAGTTTATATCTGTGGTGTTTGTTCATTTATTTTGTTTTTTAGATTCCACATATAAGTAAACTCATATGGTATTTGTCTTTCCCTGACTTACTTCACTTAGCATACTACCCTCTAGGTCTATCCATGTTGTCCCAAATGGCAGAATTTCATTCTCTTTTATGGCTGAGTCATATTCCTTTGTATATATGTACCATATCTTTATCCATTCATTTATCAGTAGACATCTAGGTTGCTTCCGTATCTTGGCTGTTGTAAATAATGCTGCAGTGAACATAGGGTACATATGTTTATTGCAATTTATGGTTAATATTTCTTCAGATAAATACCCAGAAGTGGAATTGCTGGAATATATGGTAGTTCTATTTTTAATTTTTTGAGGTACCACCTCCTTACTGTTTTCCACAGTGCCTGCCCCAATTTAGAATCCTACCAATAGTGCCTGAGAGTTCTCTTTTCTGTACATTCTTGTCAACCCTTGTTCATTGATTTATTGATTCATTCTAACAGGTGTGAGGTGATATTTCCTTGTGGTTTTAATTTGCATTTCTTGATGATTGGTAACAATGAACATGTTTTCTTATGTGTATTGGCCATCTATCTGTATGTCCTCTTTGGAGAAATGTCTATTTAGGTCCCCTGCCCATTTTTAAATTGGATTGTTTGGGGTTTTTTTGGTGTTAAGTTGTATGTGTTTTTTATGAATTTTGGGTGTTAACCCCTTATTGGGTATATCATTGGCAAATATCTTCTCCCATTTGCCAAGTTGTCCTTGCATTTTATTGGTTTCCTGCACTGTGCAAAACCCTAGTTTGACATAATTGCATTTGTTTCCCTTGCTTGAGGAGACATCCCCCCCCCCCCAAAAAATATTGCTAAGACTGATGTCAAAGAGTTTACTGTATATGTTTTCTTCTAAGAATGTTATGATTTCAGGTTTCATATTTCAGTCTTTAATTCACCTGAGGGTTTTTTGTATGTGGTTTTAAAAAGTGGTATAGTTTCAGGTTTTTGCATGCATTTGTCCAGTTTTCCCAACACCATTTATTGAATACACTCTTTACTACATGAAATAATCTTGCCTGTTTTCTCATGTATTAGCTGACCATGGAGGCATGGGCTTATTTCTAGACTCTGTTCTGTTCCATTGATCTATGTGTCTGTTTTTATGCCGGTACCATGTTGTTTTGATTACTATAGCCTTATAGTATAGTCTGATAACAGGTAGTGTGATACCTCCAACTTTGTTCTTCTTTCTCTATTTCTTTGGCTATACAGGCTCTTCGGAGAATACTTACAAATTTTAGGATTATTCTAGTTCTGTGAAAAAATGCCATTGATATTTTGATAGCATTTACTATAGCATATGTACATTGCTTTAGATAGTATGGATACTCTAACAATGTTAATTCTCTCCCTATCCATGAGTGTGGTATATCCTTTCATTAGTATTCTACTATTTACTGAATTTATTTATCAGTCCAGTAGTTTTTTTGGTTGACTCACATTCTTTTTTTTTTTTTTAAGATTTTATTTATTTATTTTTAGAGAGGGAAAGGAGGGAGAAAGAGAGAGAGAGAGAGAAACATCAATGTGTAGTTGCTGGGGGTCATGGCCTGCAACCCAGGCATGTACCCTGACTGGGAATCGAACCTGCGACACTTCGGTTCGCAGCCTGCGCTCAATCCACTGAGCTATGCCAGCCAGGGCTTGACTCACATTCTTTATATATAGTATCATGCCATCTGCCAATAATGACAGTTTTACTTTTTACTTTCCAATTTGGATGTCTTCCCTCCCCCCCAACCCCAATCTGATTGCTGTGGCTAGGACTCCCAATACTATGTTGAAAAAAAGTGGTGAAAGTGAACATTCTTGTTTTGTTCCTGGTCTTAAAGAAAAAGCTTTCAACTTTTCTAATTGAGTGTGATGGTAGCTGTGGGTTTGTCATGTATGACCTTGATTATGCGGAGATCTGTTCCCACTATCTCCACTTTGCTGAGAATTTTTATGACGAATGGATGTTGGATTCTGTCAGATGCTTTTTTTTGCATCTACTGATATGAGCATATGATTTTTAACCTTCATTTTATTTATGTGGTGTTCTATCTATCTTATTAATTGACTTGTTAATATTAAACCAGCCTTGCATCTGGGAATAAATTCCACTTGATCATAGTGTATGACCTTTAATGTATTATTAAATTCAGCTTGCTAAAATATTGTTGAGGATTTTCCTCTGTGTTCATCAGGGATACTGGCCTGTAATTTTCATTTTTTCTTTTTCTTTTGTTTTTAATAGTGATTTTGTTGGTTTTGTTATCAGGGTAATGCTAACCTTGTAAAATGAGTTTGGGAGCCTTCCCTCTTCAGTTTTTTGGAATAGGTTGAAAAAGATAGGTGTTAATTCTTCTTTGAATGTTTGGTTACAATAATTTGGTCCAAGACTTTTGCTTGTTAGGAGGTTTATGATTACTGACTTGATTTCATTAGTAGTTATGGGGCTGTTCAGATTTTCTGTTTCTTCCTCATCAGTTAGTTTTTGGAGGATTGTATGTTTCTAGGGATTTACATTTCTTCCAGTTTGTCCAATTCATAGTATTTCCTTACATTCTTTTGGATTTCTGTGGTGTCAGTTGTTAGTTCTCCTTTTATTTCTGATTTTGATTTTTTCAGTCTTTGTGATGACTCTGGCTAAAGGTTTATCAGTTTTGTTCAAGTTTTCAGAGAACCAGTTTGTGCTTTCATTGAGCTTTTAAATTTTTTTACACTCTTTAAATTTTTTTTCTGCTGTGATTTTATTATTTCCTTTTCTTCTACTCAGTTTGGGCTTTATTTCTTTTTCTAGTTCCTTTAGGTTTAAGGGTAGGTTGTTTATTTGAAATATTTCATGCTTCCTTTTAAAAAAAATTTTATTGATTGATTTTAGAGAGAGAGAAGGGAAAGAGAGAAACATCGATTTCTTGTTCCACTATTTCACGCATTCATTGGTTGATTCTTGTGTGTGCCCTAACGGGGAATCCAACCCACGACCTTAGCATATGGGCACAATGCTCCAACCAACCAAGTGACCTGGCCAGGGCTTTCTTGGCTTCTTGAGGTAGTCCTGTATTGCTGTAATTTACCCTCTACAACTGCTTTGGCTGTGCCCCATAGATTTGGGGTTGTTGTTTATTTATTTTCATTTGTTTCAATGTACCTTTTGATTTCTTCCTTGATCTTATTATTGACTTATTCATTATTTAGTCTCCTCCTGTCTGAGTGTTTTTCAATTTTCTTCTTGTAATTGATTTCTAATTTCATACTACTGTGGTCAGAGAAGATGCTTGATATGATTTCTATCTTAAACTTGAGACTTGTTTTGTCTTCTGACATATGATCTGTTCTACAAAATATTCTATATGTACTTAAATGTATATTCTGCCTTATTTGGGTGAGATGCTCCAAAAATATCAATTAAATCCCTATGGGCTAATGTGTCACTTATGGCCACTGTTTCCTTGTTGATTTTGTACATGGATGTTCAACCCATTGTTGTCAATGGGGTGTTAAAGTTCCCTACTGTTACTATCTTACTGTTGCTCTCTCCCTTTATGTGTGTCAGTGTTTGCTTTATATATTTGCATGCTCCTATATTAGTTAAATAGATGTTTTGACAAGAGTTCTGTCCTCTTTTTGGATTGATCCCTTTATCATTATGAAACACTATTCTTTGTCTCATTTTATAGCCTTTTGTCTGAAAGTGTATTTTTTCTGATATAAATATTGCTATTCCAGCTTTTATTTTTGGCTGTCATTTGCATGAAATATCTTTTCCATCCTTTTACTTTAGTCTACATGTGTCTTTTAATCTGAAGTGGGTCTTTTGTAGGCAGCATGTGTTGGGTCTTAGCCACCCTATGTCTTTTGATTAGAGCATTTAATCTACTTACATTTAAAGTAATTATTAATATTTTTTAGTTATTGCCATTTTAGTATTCATATATTTGATCTTTTTTTTTCTTTTAAAATAAGTTCCTTTAACATGTCTTGTAATCCTGACTTGTGTTGGTGAACTCCTTTTTCTTTTTCTTATTTTACAAAGGGTGGAGGTTTCTTTAAAAAAAAAAAAAAGATTTTATTAATTAGAGAGAGGAACAGGGAGAGAGAAGGAGAAGAAGAAAAACATCAGTGTGTATTGGTTGCCTCTCTCACACTCCCAACCAGCGATCCTTCAGTTTGCAGGGTAGCATTCAATCTACTGAGCCACAGCAGCCAGGGCATCTGGCTTTGTCAACACTTTGTCGGCTTTGATTCTAAATGACAGCCTTGCTAGGTAGAGTAATCTTGGTTATAGGTCCTTGCTTTTTATCACTTTGAATATTTTGTGCCAATCCCTTCTGGCCTGCAAAGGTTCTGTTGAGAAATCAAATGAAAGTCTTATGGGAGCTCCCCTGTAGGTAACTGTCTTTCTCTTGCAGCTTTTAAGATTCTCTCTTAGTCTTTAACATTTGGTATTTTAATTATGATGTGGCTTGGTATGGCCTTTGCAGGTTCAGCTTGTTTTGGATTCTCTGTGCTTCTTGGATTTGTATGTTTTATTTCCCTCACCAGGTTAGGGAAGTTTTCAATCATTATTTCTTTGAATAGGTTTCCAATTCTTTGTTCTCTCTCTTCCCCTTCTGGTACCCATAATGCGAATGTTGTTATGCTTGATGTTGTCCTGGAGTTCATTTAAACTATTCTTTTTTATTATTATTCTTTTTACTTTTTGCTGTTGTAATTGGATGTTCTCTTCTACCTTGTCTTCCACATTGCTGATTCCACCCTCTGCTTCTAATCTCCTGTTGACTCCCTCTAATACATTCCTCATTTCATTTATTGTATTCTTCATTTCTGACTGGTTCTTTCTCTTTTATGGTTTCTATTTTTTTGTATAAGTTCTCTCTGAGTTCATCTACTGTTCCCCTAGGTTTATTGAGCATTCTTATAACCAGTGTTTTGTACTCTGTATCTGGTAGATTGTCTCCGTTTTATTTAGTTCCTTTTCTGGTATTCTGTCCTGTTCTTTCATCTGGGAAAATTTTTTTGTCTCTTTATTTTGGCTATCTTTGTATGTTTGTGTCTGTTTACTAGGTAGATCTTGCCATGTCTCCTGGTCTTGATAGCATGACCTTCTATGTGGAAGTTGTTCTATGAGGCTAGTGGTTCAGTCCCTCTGGTTACCTGTGCCTGATGCTTCAGGAATGTCCCCTGTGTGGATTATGTGTGCCCACCTGCTGTAGTTGGGGCCCACTGATGCACATCAGTGGGTGGGGTTGACCCTCAGGCTGACAGGCTGTGAGGGTACCTATGACTACAGCTGTCATGCTATTGTGTCTTGACTAACCCTTGGAGCGGGAGTCACTCTAGTGGGGCACTGGTGCCTGCTGAGTCCTGCCTTTGGGTTTGTCATTTGCAGAGCTGGTAGGGTGATGGTGTAGTATGGTCTGACACTGGTCACTGGGTATGTTGGGTCTGAAGCCTTCTAGAAGGGGCTCTGGTGCACAGCCAAGGTCAGCTGCTTCTTGGGTCATGCTTGTAGCCTCCAGGTAGAAGCTTCAAAATGATCTGCATTTGGTTGCTTCTGGTGCTAGACTTAAAGGTGCTTGGGAGAGGCCCCACTATCTACTGAGGCTGGATGGTACTTGTTCCAGTCATGGGACCCTTTCGTGGTCACCATAGTGCAAGTTGAGGCCAGATACCACTTATGCCAGCTTTGTGGCTGCTTAGTTGAAATTCTGTTCCAGGCCAACACTGCTTATGCCAAGCTTGGGGCCTTCTGTAGAGAGTCAGCAATGTAAGTTGAGACTGGTAACCACTGTTGCTGGGCTTGGGGCTACTTATAAGAGCTACATTACATGCTGGGGTCAGCGGCTGCTTCTTTGGGGTTTGTGATTCCTTGAGACATTTTGCAAAAGTTCAAAGCAGTAGCCAAGGCAAGGTGCTTTGTCTGGAGGAGCCACTAGAAGAGGCTGGGCCTAGGCAAGTAATTTGGGTGGGGTGGGGTCTTAGGGAATCACTAGGGTGCGGTGAATGGTGTTACCCAGGTTAAAGGAGAGCACAGATTTGGCTCCCACCTATGCCTGGCCAGCTAGGTTGAAGGAGACATTCAACAAAAACCAGTGGCTGCTGTCGTTGGAGACAGTTGCCCTGACCTCTCCCTCTCCAGCACTCTTCTGAAGTTAACCAATTTGGTTCCTCCCTGGATATTGCTGGAGGTTTTTGAGTTTCTGTCCCTGCACTGGAGCTCAGAGCAACTGTTTGTGAGCAAGTGAGTCTGTGTGCAGGCCTCTTAAGAGACTCAGTCACCTCAGCCTCCAGCAGTTTCCTATTCTTCTCAAACATAATACCTGCTAGTTTTCACTGCCAGATGTTATACAGACTCTTCTTCCAGATACTGGTGCCCTGGTCAGGGGAGCCTGGTGTGAGGCTGAGTCCACTTGCTCCTTAGAGGAACCTCCACAGCCAACATATCCCTCCTAAATACTTAATCACCATACTTATTTTACATTTTTGCCCCTCCTACCAGTCTGGACATGGGTTCTTTACATCCTTACTTTTAGGATTTGTGTGTAGCTAGCTTCAGGTGGCTCTCAAGTGGTTGTTCTATAATTTAGTTGTAATTTTGGTATGGTAGTGGGAGGAGGCAATCCCAGAGTTTACCTACTCTGCCATCTTGGCTGGAACCAAGCTACTCGTCTTTCAAACTAATCCTAAATCTATCTCCTTGACAATAAGGAGGTCAAAAATAAAAATATTATTTCTGACATTTGATGAATGGTAAAGCCTTCATTTAATATTCATAAGTATTTGATATTTATTAAATATTTATTTAAATATTATGAACATTAGTTGATAAATATAAAACATTAACATGTAAATATAGTAGAATATTCTGTAGCTTTTACAGTTACAAATACAGTGTTCATTTTCTAAAAATAATTTTTTTTAGATTTTATTTATTTTTTTAGAGCAAGAGGAAGGGAAGGAGAAAGGGAGAGAAACATCAATGTGTGGTTGCCTCTTGTGCAGACCTCCACTGGGGACCTGGCCTACAACCCAGGCATATGCCTTAACTGGAAATCAAACCGGCAACCCTTAGGTTCGCCGGCCAGCACTCAATCCACTGAGCCACACCAGCCAGGGCTAAAAATAATTATTTATTGAATGTCTGTTATGTACCAGGCCACTACTGTAGGCTTTGGAGATATGGTGATGATGAGTCCCCTAGTCAGGGTCCTGGGGTTACATTCTAGCAAGAGGATATAGACAGTGAGCAAATAAGAAATATTCAAAAATGAAATATTTATAGTAACTAATAAAAAAACCACAAAAGTGTGTTCATATATATACCCACACTAACAATAATGCACTGATCAGAATATCAAGGTGAGATTTATGAAGTTGAAAGTGGAAATAGGAATGTAAATTTGTTTAATTATACTATTCTCAAACTTTTGATATTTTTCAAATCTCAAAATTTAAGATTTAATTTACAATACTTTTAGTGTTTACCTAAATATAGACTTACTTTCAAGTTATTTTCACAATTCTTGCATGAAAATTGATATTTAGAGTCACAGAAAGGGATTCTTACACATTTAATAAAATATAAGCATGCCTCATTATATTGTACTTTGTTTTACTGCACTTCATGTGTTTTATGTTTTTTACAAATTAAAGACAAGACCCCTCCACCAGAAAAAGATTGTGACTTGCTTTATTGTGGTGGTCTAGAACCACATCTGCAATATCACCAAGGTTTGCCTGTATTTGTGAAATAGTTTTTGCAGGTAGTGTTTTAAGGGAAAGAAAAGGCACACATTTCAAGCTGTAAACAGTATAGAGGTAGTAGATCAGCCCCCACTTTTTGCAAATGAGGAAGCTGCCAAATTGTCTAAAATGAAAATTTAAATTGGAAGGATTGAACAAAAAGAGCAAGCAAGTGAGAAAAAAGGACGCATGGACATGGACATCAGTGTGGTGATTGCTGGGGGCAGGGCTAGGAGAGGTAGAGGGAGTGTATAAGGGGATAAATGGTGATGGACGGAGACTTGGGGGGTAAATACACAATATAGTGTATAGATGAAGTGTGCTGGACTTGTGCACTTGAAACTTCTATAATTTTGTTAATCAATGTGACCCCAATAAATTCAATAAAAAGGAAAAGAAAATTTAAATTAATGTTGTTTTTACTATTGGGAAAAACTGAATGAAGGGTACAGGACTTCTCTGTACTATTTTGGCAACTTCATATCATTCTACATTTCAAAATAAGAAGTTTTGAAAAGTAAAGATAATTTTTACATGAATATGCTTTTCATCTTTTCTAGTTTGTGGAGGACTATGAGCCTACCAAAGCAGACAGCTACCGGAAAAAGGTAGTGCTGGATGGGGAGGAAGTACAGATTGATATCTTGGATACAGCTGGGCAGGAGGACTATGCTGCAATTAGAGACAACTACTTCCGGAGTGGAGAAGGTTTCCTCTGTGTGTTCTCTATTACGGAAATGGAATCCTTTGCAGCCACAGCTGATTTCAGGTATGTCAGGGAGTAATGTTGTTGCTCTGACTTATTGCATAACAGTTTCTTCCCCAGAAACAAGTGGACAACCAGAGGTTCTTATTTGATAGTGTTTCACTCTGTGTCTAATTGTGGTTATTCCCTCTTAATATCAGTGTGTGTCTCTATCCACTATGTACTTATACTCAGATGCTATCCCAGTGCCCAGTGTATTAAGTTAGAGCTTGTGGCAGCCTTGCTACCCAAAGTTTCTTTATGCATTATGGAAGTATTTCTCTTTGGAGTATAATACTGCTACTGCCATAATAGTTGATACTTGGATCCTATAATGGACCTCTGATCCCGATTTTAAATCTCTCTTCATTCGTTACTATTTTCTCAGCACATGTGTAATGCTCAGTGGGCACATTGCCATCTTCCTCACAATATAGTCCTGATAGCATGAACTGAAATTTTTAATAGAAATGATAATACCATAGCTTGGCATACTAGGTTGTGTTGTATACTTCTCTTATATCTTTCTTACTGTTTGCTTAATCAAAATCTGTCATCAATTTCATTTGATTGGGGGGGATTAGACAGGAGAGAGATTATCTTTATGCCTAAAAGAAACATGACATAAATAAGTTCCTGAGCAGTCTTGTAAATACTACCTGCATAATCAAAAGTATTCTTTAATTATATCTTTATTCTTGTATTATGCACCTGCTGTGGTATGGGGGCACAAAATAATAATGAAATGTATGCATCCTGTTTTTAAGATTCACTCAGCTTAATTAAATTAAATAAGGCATGAAACCAAGAGCAAATTAGTCAAAAGTAGGAGACATGAAAAGTTACTATTACAGGAGATCCAGGAGGGGAGAGAAACTGACGGGCCTTCATGAAATAGATGAGCCTGAAGGATAAGAAGGATTTCCACAGATGAGATAAGAAGTCATTTCAGGTGGTTGAGCAAAAAACTAAACCTGGGCTTATACGAAGTATTCCTTTTTGTGTACACTTGAAGGTCTCAAGAACTTAAAGGGTTCTAAGAGAACATTCTTACAAAAAATATCATTGAGAACCTTAAAATATATAGATTTACTTGTAAAATTAAGTTTGTTTCTGTAAGGAACAGTTTTGTATGTGATAAAGTGCAAAAGGTAGCAGATTCTGGTAACTTGTAATTTTAGGAGACAAACTGAAAGTTATATAAATGGCAATGCTTTATTTATTCAGCAAATGTTTAAGTGCTTATTATGTCATAAAAGGTCCTATTTCAGGTAATGGAATAAATTGTACCACCATAGTCACCAAAGCCAAAGTGGTATTTCAAGGAAATAAGGTATTTTTATGCCAAGAGAAAGAATCTTGGGCTATTGCCATTACAGTGAATCATTCATTACCCTTCTCTTGTACCTCCAATGCATTGTCTTTCCCATAAATAACAATTCTTAATAACTGACCACTGATTATCTGAAGGGGATTTTTGAGACTGTCAGCAGTACACGTGATCTAACCTGCAAAGTACACCGCAAATGTTAGCTCCTTTATTTAATCTTCCTGGTCCTCCCACCACCAAGACAGAATCCATTGTTTCTTCGTCTCTGTATGTGATCTTCTTTCCCCGCTCCAGTAGCACACTTAACACTCTTATACTGAGTTTGATTTATATGTCTTTTTCCTGACTCAGTAAAAAGTCTTGATTACAGAACCCATTTCTTTCCTTTTTTAAAAAAAGATTTTATGTATTTATTTTTAGAGAGAGAAGAAGGGAAGGAGAAAGAGAGGGAGAGAAACTTCAATGTGTGGTTGCCTCTCACACATCCTTTGCTGGGGACCTGGCCTGCAACCCAGGCATGTGCCCTGACCGGGAATTGAACCGTGACCCTTTGGTTTGAATGCCTGCACTCAATCCACTGAGCTACACCAGCCAGGCAAAACCCATTTCTTATCCATCTCAGTGTTTCTAGTACACATATTTGGCACAATTGCTAGCATATAATGTATAATGCTTAGTAAACATTTGGTAGAAATGTTAGAAGACTTTCTTACTTCTTTTGATTCTCACTTATGTCAAAAATGAAGAAGCTGGACCACTTTGTAAAGTTACTTTCCTATTCTAAAATTCCATAACAGCATCTCTAACTCAATTTGAATGGAATATCACATTAAGCAAATGTGTATGAATGTTCTAGACATAGCATTACCTTTCTTTGACATCCAGGAAAATAGCTAATAAAACCCCAACTTACTAACTTTTTTTCCCAATTTATTAGCTTTAAAGCATATTGTGTTCTCACCTCAGAACCCAGTAGGTCCAAGTTTCTTGTGGCCACGTTTGTGATAGCATTAATCACGCTGTAATTTCCGTAATAGTTCTCCTGAAGTACCTGACTCATGCTAGCTTAGTAGGTAGTTATTAAGAAATAAATTAATGAATATATATAATATGACCAGAAGTGCTAAAGTCACAAAGAGTCAATCTTACATTCCTGGTGGTTAGTGTGGCTTAGTGATCAGTCAGGTATTATTAACAACTCAGTTTAGGCAGTTGGTCACAAAGGAAACTGGGTGAGAAAGTAGTAGCAAATGTGTTACCAGCACTGGGAAAAAATTGTGTTTGGCCAAAATCCTTTTCACAAATACATCATAAATTTAATAGCAATAATGGTGATTGTCGACATGCTTTTTGCAAGAAATCATATGAGTGGTAGGAAATACAGTACTCTGTAGAACTGTACAGCTTAGTCTATGTCACCCAAATATGGTGCGCCATTAACATATTTTCTTTCTAAAAGGGTATTTAAGCTCAGTACAAATCAGTGAAGGATGGAGTGACTATAGGTGTGGTCCATATTTTACTATTAGAAAAATGACATTACCTAAAACAGTGCTTACCATGTACCATATGCTTTCCCATTATTAGTATAGGTGAGGTGGATCTGTGAGGTATTTCACAGATTCTAAGACACATATTTCTTGCTTTTTGTCATCTGCTTAACTCAGGGCTGTCTCATATATAGTATGACATCTTAAGTTATAATTGGAAGCAGTTTTTCTTAGTGGTGCATAAAACACATAATGCTTAAAGTTAGTGACTTCTTAAATGTGAAAATTTTAAAAAGTGTTATCCAAATTTATAAATGAAGAAACTGAAGCACATAAAGGTTTAACGACTTGCTGCTGGTCATACATTTAGGGATGGCAAAGCAGTTAAATTAAGCCCGAGAGGTCTGCCTCCATATTCTTGATTTTAACAACTCTGCAGTGCTGGCTCCCATTAAACGAGTGGTTGGTCTTCTGTAATACCACACAGCCTTTCTATTTCATGCTGTTAAAATGGAATATGGCAAGTTTCCTTTTTGACATACAGCCCTTTTCACTACCGTGTATTTTTTTAATGTATTAAACATTTTTATGTAGGGCATTGTTTTTAAACTATATAATTAAAGTATTCTATGCAATCATATTATAATATCACTAGTTACTTTGTTGATATAATTCTCAGTTGAAAAAACAAATTGAAAACATTTTTACAAAAAGGTAAAATTTTCTTTATATGATCAACTTTCTTCTTTCACCTCTCTTTTACCTCATCTTCTCCCACAGGTTTGCTCTGATGACTATAAATATATAAAAAGGTTTCCCTCTGCCCATTTGTAACTTTGCCATGCAGGGGAAATGTCCTGTAATGTGGAGACCCTTACCATAATGCCCAGTTGGATACCTTGGTGTTCATTCCATATCAGAGGTAGGGGTCTCTTGTGAAATGGTTTTTGGGAACTAAACCTTGAAAAGGGTTTGTTTCCTTAGGTATTCCATTATGGGGAGACCCCATAATATTTAGTGTAGAAGTTGTATGTGTGCTCTGGAGTTAAATTTCTCAGATTCAAATCTTAGTTTTACTTAACTGTAACTCTGAACAAGTTACATAATTTCTCTGTGCCTCATTTTTCTTATGTGTAGTAGGATGACAGACAATACTAGCTAGTACTAATTTCATGGGTTTAGGGTAAGGATTAAATGAGATAACGAGTGTAAATCTTAAAACATTTAAGGCACCTGCTACATTGTGAGTACTCAAAATTGTTAGCAGCAGTGGAGGAGGTAGTGGTGGTTTTCAGTAGCTGCTAAGAGGCACAAAATACACTAATTTGAAAATAAACCCTGATGAAGATTTATACTCAGTCTCAAACACCATGGTTAGATTCCTGTGAAGTCAGGCATACTTTGCTGATCTGCCATTCTAATAATCCACTTAATTTTCTCAGTCTAAAGTATTTCTGTCTCTGTAGTTTTCAACATCTTTTAATTTCAAAGGAGAGGCATCTGTAAAATAGTAAACCTAAATCTTACAAATTTATTTTGTTTGTTGATTTGACAAGAAAACATCGTTATCTAATGCATTAATAATAATCAGAACAGCTAACATTTGTTGAATATTTACTGTGTGCTAGGCACAATTCTAAGCAGTTTATGTTTAATCGTCACAGCAGTTGTATAAAGAAGGTATTGTAGTTACATTATACAGATCAGGAAACAGGCAAAAAAGACTTTGCTCGGAGTCACATGACTAAAAAGGGCGGAGCAATGAGACCTTTAAAACTGGTGACACATTCACGGCATTAAACTTATCTACATGCAAAATCTATACTCAAGAGCTGACTTCCAGATATTTCCGGCATGTGTGGGGCTTTAAAGACATTTAGTTGGTGTTACAGGGTGCAGCCAAGAGGGGGGACCCCAAGTGGGCATTTGAAATGGGGTCCAGAACTTAAGGTGTCCAGGAGATTTTAAGATGTCTCCACACCCCCCCCCCAGGGTGTGGGTTGGGGGAAGGGACAAATGGCACAGGGCCATTGAGAGCTGTTTTGCATAGCAACAGCCTTGCAGCTACCCTCTGGAGTGGTCATTTAACATATCTATAGCCTTTGGCTGGTTGTATAGATATGTTAAATAGCTGTGATCATCTCTAAGCCAGGGGAATGGAAGTAACTTCCCCACCAAGACGTGACTGGGGGCAGATCCCCCAAGCTACAGCGCCTCCGTGGGAGCTCAGAGAAGATTGGCTCCAGGACATGGGGCCACACCTGCCCAGACTCATGATGGCAGCCCAGTAAAGCTGGAAGGATATGAATTCTGGCAAGTGAAGCCGAGTGTGGGAGGAGTCGGAAATGAGGCTGCAGAGGAAGATTGGCCGTGGGGATTTAAAACCCAGACTTGGCGGCCATTAGTGGAGAGAACCGTGCTGCTTGAGGAGGGAGAACTATGCGTCTTTAGCAGAGTGGAGACTCCCGCATCCCAGAGAGAGAGAACCACGCGGCTTTGGAGGAGTGGGGACTCTCCCCTTCCCGCAGCCCTGAGAAGGGGAACCACGCGGCTTTGACTGAGTGGAGACTCCTGCATCCCAGAGAGAACCGTGCTGCTTTAGGAGAGAGAACCACGCGGCTTTGGCAGAGTGGGGACTCTCCCCTTCCCGCAGCCCTGAGAGGGAGAACCACGAGGCCTGGACAGAGTGGGGACCCCCACAGCTTTAGAAGGGGAACCACCACCTGGTTTTAGCAGAGATCCCGGCGACTCAGCCGAGGGTGCCGGGAACCCAGGGAGGTCTCCCAGTCGAGATGGAATGCTAACTGGGAAGAACCAGAGGACTGTCTGAGCCATGGACTTCTATTTCCTTTCCTGAGATACGGTACTCTGGACTGGGCAAAGGGGGAAGGAAGGAAGGACTGTGACTGTGTTTGTGGGTGTTTTAAGGGACTTTAGGATTTTTGATAAAGACATTAGGTCACTACTTTAAGTTAGTATAGTATTAAATAAACATTTCCTTTCCTTTTCACGAATCTCTAGCATTGAGAGATGTCTTTCCTCTGGCGGCAGACATAACGGACCCGGGGCCTTCTTTCAATAATAGTATATTGTCTCAGGCCCCCCTTGTTCTGTTCTGTAACAGTTGCTCTTTGATATGATGCAATAAGAATGGCACTCTCTCCATTTGTTTCCTCCTAAAAATCCCATGGCCCCAGCTTAATCATGAGAAAACATCAGACAGATCCCAAATGAGATATTTTTCTACAAATTACCTGACTGGCACTCCTCAAAACTGTCAAGGCCATCAAAAACAAGAAAAGACTGAGAACTGCTGTAGCTAAATGGAATCTGAGGAGATAGGATGACTAAGTGACATGTATCCTAGATAGGATTCTGAAAAGCGTTTTAGGGGGAAGTTGCATTTGATACTTTTATTTTGTACCTCATCTGCCACATTTTATACTGTCTTCCTTGGAGTATTTTTTCTTCAGTGAAGTGAATGTGTAACTCAGATGATTAATAAGGAAGAAGTGCTGTCCATTTCCTACTATGTGATAAATGAGCTGATTGTTATTATATAGAAACAAATAAGTGCCAAATACCAGATGGTATTTGTTTAGTGATTTTAACATGCAGAGATAATGTTAATGTTTCCTTATCATTTTCTCTTATCCAGGGAGCAGATTTTAAGAGTAAAAGAAGATGAGAATGTTCCATTTCTGCTGGTTGGTAACAAATCAGATTTAGAAGATAAAAGGCAGGTTTCTGTAGAAGAGGCAAAAACCAGAGCTGATCAGTGGAATGTTAACTATGTGGAAACATCTGCTAAAACACGTGCTAATGTTGACAAGGTAAATGTGGCTCACCTTACTATCACGTTAAAAATAGGCTGATTTGCTTTAACTAGGCTGGCTCCATTTTGTTGAGAGATTCTGAGACTTTCAAATAACAATTTAATATGTGTTGATTTTTATCAGCCCTGAATGCTCGAGTGCAACACGTTAGGAATTTCTTACTTCACTTTGTCCCTTGGTTTCACAAAAGGCATTACAACATGAGACACTTGTAGCAAAAATCTACTTTTGTTTAAGTGCTGATAGAATTCCTGACCTGAATTCTTGCTTATTTTCTTTCCTCCTTATCTTGATTGGCTGAATGATTTAGAAGGAAGGACTTGTGCAAGTCCTCAGAGCTGACACCTCCCCAGCCCCATTTTAAAGTGAAGATGCTTCCCAAGATGAAGGAGCCTAGATTAAAAGATTTTTAAATCTCTCTACAACTCCACTCCCCACCCTCAACCTCAGTTTTTCCCTGAGTGGAAAAGGAAACCATCTACCCTCTTTCCTTAGGTTCCCACTTTGTTCAGATTGGCCTTTCCTGGGGACCAGGAGAGGAACACCATTACCTCATTCCCAGGAGCCTTCCCAGGGGCATTTCATCCTGCTGCCAGAGACTATCTTCAGTATTTAGGAAGCACTGCCTGTTGGGCTGAGGCAGCACAGGTGCTTAGAGACCTGGGAGGGTTGGGTTTCTTTATCAGTCTCCAACTGTCTAGGCCCCAACTGAGTGCCTACAAAGCTTGATAAACCAATTCCTAGGTCTTGTCCCACAGGTTTTGACTCATCTGGTCTGGAGTGGGACCTGAGAATTTGCATGCTTCTTATCTCACTTGTTATCTTCACAGACTGTGGGCCTGTGAAGCTTGCTGACAGCACTGTTCTAGGTGGCCTCAGGTTTTAGTGAACTCATGTGCTTGTGCTTATAGACTCACAGCCCTGATCCAGAAGTCATTAGTTAAAAATACTAGACATTCTTTTATTTACTGAAGGTCTTAAAACTGTCATTGCTATCCTAAACTGATGAAATTGTTTTGACATATTAGACTAGATGGATTTAATTAATATGTTAGAACATTTCACCCCAAAGCAACTAAACAAACAGTCTAAGTGCACAAAAAACACTTTGTAGGATAGACCACATGCTAAGCCACAAAACAAGTCTCAGCTAAGTCAAGAAGATTGAGATTATATCAAGCATTCTCTCCCACCACAATGGTATGGATCTAGAATTCAATTACAAGAAGAAAACTAAAAAACACACAAACATGTGGAGGCTAATTAACATGCTATTAGACAATGAATGGATCAACAACAAGGTCAAGGGACAAATCAAAAATACCTTGAGACAAATGAAAATTAAAACACAGCAACCCAAAATCTATGGGACATAGCCAGAGCATTTCTGAGAGGGAATTTTTCTAGTCACATCATTAGATTGCTATGGTCCAAGATATCTGTACAAAGTAAATGTTACAAAATTTCTACTTAGTATGCCAGTTTTCTCTAAAGTTATGGCAGATATTTTTTAAAGTATTAATGAAAATATGTTTTAAGGTTGTATGTTTGGGGTTTTGAAAGGTAACGAACATTATCATAACATTAGCATGTATAATATCCTCGTATACTTTGTTTCCTCCTAACTGATGTCTTGAGCAGGTTGTAGAACAGACTATAAACAATACTGGAACTAAAGGGAGTAGGGAGGACGGGAGAACAGTAACTGTCCAAGCTATGAAACTGTCCTTCTAGCAGTCCTTGCAGTGTCATCTGCTAGTACCAGAGGCCCTTGGAAGGGTATGGTGGTGAGCATTATCAGAGCCCTTATGGGACAGTAAGAAAAAAACAACCCAGTGGAAGAATGGTCAAAACCATTAAACAAGTGTGTCACAAAATATAAATGCAAATTACTTTTACGCATGAAAAGAGGCTTGCTTGTCTTATAAAAAAGGAAGTACAATTTTAAAATATGACTTTTTTTACTTGTCACATTAGAAAAAAGCAATGGGTTGCTAATATACTGTTGGATAGAGTATAGAAAAATAGAAACACTCGTGTTTGTGGAAGGGCAATTTGGCTGTCCTCTATCAGAATTATGACCTTAACAATTTGAATTCTAAAATTTTATTATACAGAAAATTTGCACATAAATGTATGCTCATTGGTAGTCATTGAAGCATTATCTGTAGAAGCAAAAGATGATAAATCTAGTTTCGTATAATGGACTGATTTAAATTACGTTGTGTCCTTATAATTAGGTACTATACAACTCTTTAAAAGAAGTAAAGGTAGACCTAAATGTGCTGATACGAAAAAATCTTTAACATAAAGTAAAGAAAAAAGCAAAGTGCAGAACAGTGTTTATAGTTTGCTGCCATCTGTGTTTTTAAATACTCATCACACATACATGCAGATGTATGTGTTAGGGGGATATGTAAGAATCTAGTACCTGTGGTTGCCAGAGAATTGTCACATGTATATGCTTTTTTCACTGTAAATACCCTTTTGAACTTCTGTGTTTGATTTTTTGCCATATGTACATATTACTTTTTAAAAGAGAAAAGTTAAAGATATGTCTATTTTACTTATAAATGGCTGTGTAATAAAATACACTCCAAAAACTTGATGAGTGAGACAGTTTATTATGCTTACATAGTCTGTGGGCCATGAATTTGGACAGGACACAATGGGTATGGCTTGTCTCAGCTCCACAGTGTCTGGTGCCTCAGCTGAAAAGCTTCAAGTTCTGGGGACTGGAAGTTTCCAAACTTTGGTTTTAAAAGCTTGTTCACTCATGTCTGGCTAAGCTAGTAGATGCTGGCTGTTGTGCAGGGTTACCTCTGTTCCTCTCCATGTGATCTTTTTGTGTGTGTTTTTAGGCTTTCTCAACAACAGGGTAGCAAAGTGCCTGCCAAGGGCAACTGTCACAAGTGAATAAGAGCCAGGCAGAAAACACATCACCTTTTATGACCTACCTTCATTTCCACCTCATTCCATTGGTAGGGGTAGTCACAGATTTCCACCCAGGTTCAGGAAGAAGGAGAATAGACTCCACCTCTTGTTGGAGAGTGGAGGGATTCAGGAAAAGCTCACAGAAAGTATTGTTGTGGCCAGTTTTAGAAAATACAGTCTTCAGGTCACCTCTCCAAAGCAGAATTACATTAAATGAGGCTACTTCTAAACTGAGGTAGAAGTTTGTACTGAAAACCATAATTTTATGTACTGCTACAATCTGAAGAGTAGCTATCAGATAAAGCACTTCAGTGGCTAATTAAAAATAACCTGCTGCTACTATTCAATTTCTAGAATTAGGTTATGGTTTTTTGGTTTTGTTTTGTTTTGTTTTTGCCAAGGAAGTAGTGTTACAAGGGCTAGTATTCATTATTGCTTACAAGAACCAGGCACTATGGCAAGAGCTAACCATTTTATCTTAAACCCTATGAGGTATAAATACTGTTCTCATGCTCACTTTTTAGATGAGGAAATTGAAGTGTGGAGAGAGTACCTGCCTGACTCAAGGTCACAGCGCTCGGAGTGGCCAACTCTGGTGCCCATGTTTTTTCCTCACTATTTTACTCAAAATAGTGAATTGGTATATCCTATACTGTATGTCATCCACTACTATAAGCCTGATAACAGATTTTCTGGGGTAGTGTCAATATTGTTGTCTCCTTCTGTTAAATAGGAAAGTATCATGTTTTGCTGCAGAAAGCAGATAGATATTAGCTCCCTACAAGATGGCCATCCTCACCCGAATTCCAAATAGACAATTAGGTAGATGCTTCAAAGAGGCAGATTTTAAATCCACCCTGTGAAAAGTTCATTTTTTTGTTGCTTTTTTTAACTGTACATTTACACATGCTTACAGTGTAAAGAATAATTTATAATATGGAGGGAAAAGTGGGTCACTCTTCACCCAGATTCCACTCCCCTCCCCTCCCTGTAGGTAACCACTACATAGGTAGTGGGTAACAGGGTAACCACTAATATGTATATCTTCCCAGACAGTTGCCTGCATTTATAGGTAGGCATACAGAATCTAAGGGAGAGTTTGTGTTTGCTTGTTTTTCCCCTATATAAATAGTATTTTCACAGTATGTAGTATATAAATGTGTAGTGTATTTATATAGTATTTCTGTGTATGTAGATTGACAATTTCTGTGGTTTGCTTTTGAAGTTGTACAACAAAAAGTTCTTGTAGTTTATTCCATGTCACTCCATATAGATGCACCATGGTCTTTTTAAAATCTGCAAAGTGTTCCATAATTAGGCTTTTTCATAATTCAAATGTAATCCATTGAGTTTTATCTTTGGAACTGTCATCATTTGTAGTGCTCTTTAAAGTTTTATCTTAGAAATTATAATGGAAAGATCAGGTTATATTATGTGAACAAAAAATTTCCCAATTTTCTCACTATACTTAGAAGAGTAGACTTCAGTTTTATTGTTTCCTCTCTCTATATTCCTCAAACAAGAGCTCTTAAATATTTATTCTTATATTATGTCCAAAGTTTACTGCTGTGATTTCGAGAAGTACCAAGCTTACCCTTTTTTCTTCTCTCTAGGTATTTTTTGATTTAATGAGGGAAATTCGAGCCAGAAAGATGGAAGATAGCAAAGAAAAAAATGGAAAAAAGAAGAGGAAAAGTTTAGCCAAGAGAATCAGAGAAAGATGCTGCATTTTATAATCAAAGCCTAAACTCCTTTCTTATCTTGACCATACTAATAAACATAATTTATAAGCATTGCCATTGAAGGCTCAGTTGACTGAAATTACTTTAACATTTTGGAAATTGTGTATCACTAAAAGCATGAATTGGAACTGCACTGAAAGTCAGATTCACTCAAAACAGAAATTAATGTGGCTTCACCAGGAAGCAAAGTTCAACTTATTCATAATTGCCTACATTATCACAGTTCTGAATGTAATATATGAGCTTGTGTTTTGAGGGCAGTCTTTCTTAAATTGTTCAAGGGGTGCGCTGGGAAAGGAGAATGGGAGGAAAGGCTATTTTATATCATTTTAAAATATCTTGGTCTTCTACTGCCTTGAAAATGACAATTGTGAACATGATAGTTGTTAAACTATATCACTTTTTTAACCATTATTATGCAAAATATAAAAGAAAAGTTATTGGCATGATTATTGCATATAGTTAAATTGAGAGTAATTTATCTGTGAACTTGCATTAATTGCCTGGTGATTAACTTAGAAAAATGGTGTAAACTTGCACATGAAAATGTTGGAATATGCCTTAATTTAGGAACTAAAAAATACCCAGTTACTGGCACATGGGCCCATTGCCCCATGTGTCCTGGTGAGAGAATATACCTAGTAAGGAGTGAGTACAACTTTCATACAGAAGATTCTTGAGAAATAACTGTCTGCTAGGAATCTGTCCAAATTTCAAATGTGTGCCATACTCTGGTTCTTCAAAGTAAGATTCCAGAGCTACTGATTACTTTTAATTAACTATAAACAGTGCTTTAAAATGAAGGGCCAGCATATACTTGTAAGATAATTTTAGACTATAAGGTTTCAACACCAGTTTTGTTTTCTTTAAGATGCTAGTCCCTGGAATCCCTTTCTGCAAGTGATAAGCATGTGTTAAGTTTTTTATTTTTTGGAGCAGGGACAGGAAAAACATCAACAGTGCTAATGCATTTTTGCACTAGAATACTTTGGGAAAGTATTCATGCTTGCCACCTGTTAATTTTTGAATTCATTTCGTACTCATGAGATTAGTTTGGCTATATGGAAATTATTAGGAGTATTTGTAACCTGTGTTCATAATATATAACACTGTAGCTACATTTACCTTCAAGTTAACATCAATCAAACATGAGTATAGTGCAGAAAATATGTTCAGTGTACACAGGCCAAACATTAGGCCTGTGTCACCATTGCGTGGTGCACCCATTAGAAGAATTCTAGCACGCTATTTTGGAACATAATTTCAATGAGAAATCTACCACTGACAGAGTTTTGTTTTCTTCTTGTGAATGGAACTAAGTTGATTCAGAGTTTTTCTGTCTTTTTTTTTTTTTTTCAGTCCTAATTTCAATAAGTCAAAGATGTGTTCAGGCATTGCAAGTCACAGATGTGTATGTAAGGTAAACAAAAACAGGCTTTTTAGAACCTCAACTCTTTAGATATTACACCTGGCTTGTCATGTTAAATATTTGTCCTTAAAGGGTTTGAGATGTACATCTTTCATTTCGTAATTTTCACAGGCTACACCATGTGCAGAATTAAAGTACCAATGTAACACTGGCTCCACAGGCCCAGCGCTCTCCATGTGTACTTATTGTGGTCTTATTTAACCAGGGGTCCTAACCACTAACATTGTTCCTTTTCATTTGAGACCTTTCCTCTTCTGGGTACTGAGGTGCTATGAAGCCAACTGACAAAGACACATGACATGTCTTAGGCTGATGCCACTACCCAATTGCTTTATTTGCAATTTGAGCCATTATAAAGACCAATAAACTTCCTTTTTAAAAAAATGCTGGTGGTGTTACTTGATGTTTACAATATGACATGTAAAATTCAGATTTATCAACTGAGGTATCGTTACCAGATATTTAAAAACAACTAAATCTTTGAGCTATCAGTTTAGGTACTTCTTTTATATACCACTAGATTCCCTTAATAAGAGTATTGTCATTGCTCAGGTTTAGATTGAAGAGTCCCATGTGTGCAGTTCCATCAAGATACTCTTATGCTGTCATGAAAGTCACAGATGTGTACATTACTTTTATGATACTACTAAACTCTAGAATGAATAGAGTGACAGCTTTTATTTTCTAATCAGAATGATCCCCAGAGACTACCTAATTTCAAAATTGGGATAGGAGTTACTACTCTGTTACCATTTCACCAAGCTTCAAGCCATTCTCTTCCTCATTTTCAGGGTCTAGTGAGAAATAGTGTCCTATGAACTATCAAATAGCCTATGTGTTAGAAACAATTGGTCCAATATTGAGCACAGCCTTTCAAAAGTCAGTTCATAAGCAGTGCCACAAGAAGCACATTTAAATTATAATTGCCATAATTTTAACCTCATACTGTATGGACTCATTTTTAACACCAATAAGAAGTATACTGTTAAATGTGTACCATTAAATGAAGTTCTCTCAAACTAAATCAAAATGTCATGTCTCAAAAATTTGTGACAAGAATACGAAACTTAAAATTTGGCAACCTTGTATTACTACCTTAAAAGTAAATCTGAAGACATTTACCAAAAGTTCCTGTGAACTTTGTTCAAAGTAATAATCCTTTTTATTTAACCCAGTATTAGAAATCTCTTTTTAGCAAATTACTTTGGAAGTCAGGGGTGGCAGTCCATAGAAGCCTTCATTCCTGCCTTCAGTTTTCACTACATTCTTAGGGACTGCCTACTGTGAGCACTGCTGTGAATCAAACAGGTCAGGTGAAGGACAAATGAGTTAGGGGCCCCATGTATCGAGAGGAAATGAAGATAAGTTTCCTTACTCTGGGCTAGGCCCCCTCTTCTGATTTTCAACCCTAATGGCAGCAAGCACATAGTGCATCCAATATCAAGATGCCGTGTCTATATACATTTAAGTTTAATATTAATATTTTGAAGGTGCTATCTAACCCCTGTTTTGCAGTTGGGAGACAAAGAGCAGTTGAATAACTTGCCCAAGCCACGAAGCTAATAATGATTAACTGGAATTGGAAGTAGAGTATTCTGGCTCCCAAGTCCATGCTCTTTATCACTGCACAGTGAAGGAGAAGCAGAGTGGAGACTAGACTTATTCAGTAGCCTGTATTAAGGTGGGATATGCCCAAGGCTGTTGCCACATAATGGTTGTCTTTAGAAAGTTTGCAAGGTCACTATGTATGGAAAAGAGGCCTCTTGTGCTTATACTTATAGCCTGGTTGCTAATAAAGCGAGTGCTTTTTCTATGACATCAGTAAAGAGTCAGTGTTTCTTCTGACAGGTCTGAAGGTTTCGTCCCATTTTTTTAACTGCAAAATAATTACCTATTCCCATTCCTTTGCTCCAGCAACCATGCATGCATCTGTGGTGGACAACTGCATATAGATGGATGGCAGGTGAATGACAAGGGAGGTTTGGTCATCTGTATTCTCAGTCTTTACTGAAACTCCATTTCTGAGCATAAAGAGGAAGTGGGGAAGCCAAAAAGTCTTGTTGAGGGAAAGGAGCAGGTATAACTGAACTTTTCCTGGGCTTCTGCTGAAAGGGAGTGCCTATATGGAAGTGTAAGGAATTCCAGGCTGAACCTCTGAGAATTAAATCACATGCCAATTCTGCTTGTTTATGGTTTAAACTTTATAACGGATGCCACAGTTCTCACATAACACTTTTAATAGCAATTACATTTATTGGCACAAGTACTTAATATTTGTGGGCCCCTCGAACTATAAGTTCATTGTGTTAGCTACAATGTCTGCTTTTACAAATCATGTTTCCTGGGTAGCACAGGGCCTAGTACACATATTAATGCTCAACAAGGGTTTGTTGGGGTGAATAGGGTAGGTGCAGAGATTAAAAAATAATGCCTTCAGACCAGAAAGAAGAAAGAAAGGTTCTGTGAATAGTGTGAAACAACATAGGAAGTGCTATCAAAGTGTGAAAAAAGTCCTGAGAGATTAAAAAGTGGTGAGTCACTGAGTCACAACTTTTGCTGTGAAAAAATTTAGTTACAAGAGTAGAGACAAGAGTGTAATAGACCCCCATGCAATTCTCACCCAATTTCAATATGTACCAACGTTTTGCCAGTCGTTTTCATCATTTTCCCCAATTTTTTCCCAGAGTATTTTAAAGTAACCCCAAGAAATTATATCACTTCACCCATAAATACTGTTTGTTTGAGTCAGGATCCAAATGTAGTCTACATACTGTTATTTTATTACATGTTCAAGTCTTTTATAAGTTTTTGTGTTGGAATAATTTTAAGTTTACAGAAAAGTTGCAAAGATTATACAAAGAGTCCCTGTGTATCTTCCAATTACTACTAATGTAGTAATGTTGACATAACCAGGGTACACTTGTCACAACTAATAAATGAACATTGGTACAATACAACTAGTTAACATACTTGATTAGATTTCACCAGTTTTCTCAGAAACTTAGTCTTCACATCTCCCTAGGCTCCTCTGGCCAATGACCATTGCTGATAGAGATGAACTGAAAGCATGTGGCCTATGACATAGAAGACAGTAAGTGTTCCACCCACCTTACCCTCACCAACATGTCTAAACCCCACTCCTGGCCAAGGCCCACCTCAGATATCCTCCTCTCCACAGTTGGTGTACAACTGGGATGCAAAATGGCAGGAGTTACATTTAAGAGATTTGTGTTTGACGGCCAAGGTATGGGGAAACACATCTTGGAGGGCAACTTGACAGGATCTATTAAAATATAAAAAGTGTATACCTTAATCACAAAATTCCATTTTTCTGTATCTCTAAAGAAACAGTTGCCCATGTTTCCAGAATCATGTACAAGGTGTGGTTCATCATAGTACTTTACTGGAGGAACACTAGAAACTACCTAGATGTCTAAGAACAGAGTAATGACTAAACAAAATGCCATGGTTATACAATGCATTGATTACTATACAGCAGTTTAAAGGAACAGACTAGAGATGTGTATCAGCCTAGAGCAGCAATTTTCAACTGTGGCACCACAAGAATTTTTAAAACGTGTGTTACCTGACTATTTAGTCCCGGACACTGACCTCTTTTTCCTTAGAT